GTTTGCCTTCTGTTACCCTGCGCCTCTTCAATCATTTTCCTCACCCCCTCTTTCCACCAATCTGTCTCTCTCATCAGATATTATTACTTCATCTACTTTCTCTATGTGGTATACGGTGTTGACCTAAAGTTCTATTTTCACCGGGTGCCTTCACCACACAGCCAGCTAGCGCATGCCTTGGCATGGAGTTTTCTGCAGAATTTCTTGCCGACGAAAAAAAAACACGTCTTTTAGCGCGGCTACCGTAACCCTGCGAGCACTAACCATCTGGCCATAGTGTGGGTCCGTAGTGCACTGTTGCTACTATGTACGTGACGCTGTCGCTGTATTGTGATGGTAATCACTCTAGATTAAATGTGAGCCGGACGATTCGGGTAACAGTGCACGGGAAATGGAGGTATGGGATGGTTTGTTGGGCGGAGGGGGCGGATACAGGCTGCGACAGACCCCACTAGCGGGGGTCATTATCCTTGAGAAGAATGGGGTTCGGCCAGCGCAGCCATTTGATGATAGTTTTGAGTTTCATCTCTCCAGTTCACCCTCTACAGGTGGACTCTGTACGACCGCCGACACGAAATTGGGCCGATGCGAATGCGCTGAAGGTTTCGAGGGACGGTATTGTGAACGAAGAAAAGCCGCCATCAACGAGGCATGCACTGCCGTCACCTGCAAGTGAGTTGAGCTTTTGAAAAATCTCATTTGGTGACAGATTTTTAGTGACCCTAAAATAGCTGACCCACCAACACCTCAAGTCAAGGGTTAGACTGGCACCTTAAAAAGCCCTTTTTGAGGGAAGGCCCTTCTCATTCAGGCTCAAGAGTTTTTCTGCTCCTTAACATCTTTCGAATCTTTACTTAGAAGGTCTACCGGTTCTCGTCTTGCAAAGCCATCGAATTTTTCATAACCCTCTTGCGCTCGATGCCTTTACCTATACTTATTCACTGAGGTCCATCAAAGCTTAAAAACCACTTGCTTCGAGTCCATTTTCCAAATGTTCACTTTCAAACTCACTGTAGCTGCCCGGCAGTGCCAAATAAAACCTAATAAGTAATCTGAACCTGTCATTGGGTTGCTAATGCTGTTTTTGCTAAAAATTGTAGAGAACTCATTTGAGAAAGGCCAGTGGATAGAAAGCTGGTGATCTTCGTATTTCTTCCTTACCTACGCCTTCATCTTAATTTCCCAATGGGAATCGAAGATTTACTTCACTGTGCTTGGAACCTTGCAATACGACAGCTAGCGATTCTTTCACTCTTCTGATCTTTCTACCATTTCTCATTCCGTCATTACTCACCGATGATCTTCAGGAACGGTGGTTCATGCCTGCCCGGCTCGACGTGTGTGTGTCCACAGTGCTTCTCCGGTGCTGACTGTTCCCTAATTGATGAAAAATGTCTTTGGCAACGAGCCAACTCTACGCAAGATACTTTGGCTGAACATCGTGACGATGAAGAAAAGGCTTCCCACACGACGATTCTCATGCTAATGGGTGAGTGTGCCTATTATTTCTTCCCAGAATTTTGATGCTGGCTTTCTTGAAAAATCAATAACTGATGAAAAATAATTATCGTTATCAAATTGCAGCAATGGTTTCGATTCTGATGCTGGCCACGTGTGTGGTGGTGTTCTTCCTGAAATACAAGCGGATGCGACGATTACTGCGTGATCCCGTCACACAGAATGCCATCAACGAACATCGTCAGATTCATGAGCTTCCGAAGCGATCGATCGATTGTCGGTCGCCATCGGATGAAGCGTACAAGGTGTGTCAACTGTTCGAAACATGCAACGCATATATCAGTGTCTCATTAACCGACACCACTGCGCAACGGGTGGTCGGCTCTCTTTGATCTGACCGACACCGACAGAAAATTCCACCGGAACACGAGTACCTGAGCTAAGGTCCGGTTTCGGTAGCTTAACACGATCTGAGGGAGAACGATCAAGTAACTTCATTCTCAGCAAATTTGTCGCACAGATTTCAGCGTCTAAGAGAATTTTCCATTACCTGTGTAGCTTATTCACTTAGGGCTGGATCTT